TTTTCGTAATAATTAGCGAGTAACATGTGACTTCAACACCTACAATGTCACCATTTTTTTACGATTACACCCTTAATATTTTACCCTCAAGTTTCCACCCTTACCATTCAACCCTCAGAATGTCAGTCTTATGATTTTTTCGCCCCTTTCCATTATTGCGATTTGACCCTTACAATTTTACTCTTCAGATTTTACCCTTACGATTCCACCCCTATAATTCCATTCTAATCATCTCACCCTTACGACTTAACCCTTACAGTCACACCAACGGCTGGAGCCCAATGACCAAGCTCCGGGCCACCGCTGGCTGAGGCTTGGTTATCGAGCTCCGGCATGCCAATGTCCGGCCAAGGCTGGGCCAGATCTGTCAACCAAGGCTCGGTTACCCGCCCTTCTCCCGAGACTCAAGCCCTGGTCCCCAGGGATGGCCGAACCTCGGTCCAAGCCTGGGCGCCCAAACTTGGCAAGCCCAGGCTTGTGCCAGGCTTGGCCCGTTTCTCCAACACTGGCATTTCGTACATCGGGGTCGGAGGACTTGACGAATGTATTTGTTCTAACCTTATAATTGATTTTGTACCGGTCCAGAACAAACGTGAGTTGAAAATTCAATAACAGGGAGCTGCTAGATGAGCTCGTACAAACAAAACAGAGAAGAATTTGGAGGAGATGCTCCGAAAAAAACGAATTGATTCACGCTAAGGAGAAGAGTCCCAATGTTGTGGCGAACAACAGAGGGGTGAAGAGAAAACAGTTGGAGAGAGCTCATTCATTAGCCTTCAATCAGGTTTTTACTATTGAGATAACAATAAAATTGCTCTAGATATGTTTTCCGTAAACGATTTTCTAAATTTTCTTCGCCCAAACTCCTCTTAAATTCCTTTGTTCGAAAACTGCGCCCATATTATTCGACAACTGGGGCGGGTCAATTTCGAACATTCGAAATCTGGGTTCAGAGTATTATGTTTTATTTCCGCAAATATTCATCTAATGACTAACTTTGTCAATCAAAATCAAGTGTTTTTTGGTCGGAAAAACATGCGAATTGACTTCTTAAAGTTAATATTTCACATTTGACGGGAAAAAACACAGATAATCCGATATTGGGTGTCCCTTAACCATTCGATAACTAGTGCCACCATGGTAAAAAAAAAATTTTAATGAAAAAAAGCAAATTTCAACATGAATTCAGCACTTCCTCTTTGAAGTTAATATACTTGAAAATGTTCCGCCTATCATTTTTCAAAAACGAATCCATGAAAAAATGTTTAGTAGCCCGGAAATACGTAATAATTGGACCAACGGCGTCATATAAAATGCATATCCACTTCCATAAAAATACCTCCAGAGTACATGACTCAATAATTCGAAACCATGCATATCTCTCCAGCCTCATTCTCCTCTTATATCATCTTTTCCACTTCTTTCATCAAAGAAATAATACAAGAGAGACAAGGCGTATAAAAGAGGCATAAAAAATCTCTCTCTACTCCAGTATTTTCACGGTAAAAAATGGATTTCTGTTCTCCCCGGCTTCAATCCCACTCTTTCCATATTCGTATGTAGATATTTTTATGAAATGGGAGTCTCCCGAATGTCAAAGCACGAATGAAGTCGAAAGCACCGCCTGTTCCATGAAATAAACGATGAATATATTTTTTTCTCGCTGATTTTTTTTTCATCACCATTATCTTTGCTTTCGTTATTGTAATAATGATAAATCCAATAATTACTCGTGGATTATTGTAAAAATATTTCTGGAACGTGTAAGCTGAGAAAAACGAGCAGTGCGACAGTAGACAGAAGGCATACAATTGTTCCTCTACACTATTAGAAATTTCTCAAAATTTCAGTCACAGCATCAGCTGAATTTTCGATATTGTAAGGTTAAATTCAATTTCAAATGAAAGCGTTCACTAAATTTCTCATTTATCTTGAAAATTGAACATCACATACAATTCAATTTTCAATAGATTGAGAATTCAGAAAAGTTGTATCCTGAATTTTCAAAATTTTCAAGGTTTTTCAGTGCCGTATGGACCTGAAAATCAAGAATTATTTGAATATTCAAGAAATTAACTGATGTGTCGATGAAGAAATATACAGAAATTTCATGTAACTGTATCGTAGTTCAAAATTTCAAGTTTTTTCACTTGTAATTTCAAGGATAACGTTCTAACAGTGTACATCTTATTTTCTCCCATTTTGAACGACTATGTTTTTATTCATTTATTTACCTATTTCTTCAACTGTTTCATAACGCAGTGTGTTCATGTATATGTGCGCGCATGATTGTTTTCCCCCTTTTTCCATAAAATTTTGATAAGTACATGTGACAGGATCAAAGTCAGATACCTGACTATATTCCATCTAATAACAATATAAAAAATATATATTCATGTGATAAGCGACAGTAGTGGTCACACGGGTAGCGTGCGGCAGATGTCGTCCAAGCTCAGCAGAATTTAATCTGGTTAGTACTTGGAAAGGAGTCCGCTTAACCCTACCTCCCCGCGTAGAACTGCTAGCGCTAGGCACGATTATAGAGACCTACTGTGCCATTAGTCAGTTAGACGAATGAGCACAACAGGCTCTTGCAATATCGGCCGGCTGTACAACTGAGGTCTTCCATGTAGAGCTGCAAACAGCCCCCGAAAACGGCTTTAGAAGTATATGAAATATGTAAAAATGATCGAAGAGAAAAATGTACCAAAGAGCAAAGAAAAAGAAGTTATTAAAATGTACAAAACTTAATACATGAAATATTATACACCAATTTCTCCGACTCAATGAATTGAATCGCCTCTTCCACCATTCCTTGGTATTGACATGAGTTTCCCTTACTAGTCCAGGGGAATTCGTTAAAAAAATGGGCCTATTCGGGAATAAGTCGGACAAAGCTGATTTTTAGTTAATGGTTTAATTGAAGGTTCAAGAATGCCTATAAAAATTTTTGTTTTTTATAAAAACTTCCTATTCCAACCGAAAATGACCGCCATGTTGAAAACAGGTGTTGGATCTTCATTTTTCGGTTTTTCGGCTCATGGGGTAAAATTACAGACGAAACTAATGAGTTGAATACGTTTCTCCGCTCAGAATCCACAAATTTGTTTTTTTGACTTTTTTCTATATTTCCATTATTTACAAAAATAGAGCTCTTTTAGCGAATGCCTACGCTGCTGCACGTATTTTACCAGGCGCTGACGGCCCGCACGAGGCCATCATTACTAAGCGCTCTAGCTCTTCACGATTCAACGTCAAATATCTCAGTAAATAATGGAATTATGAAAAAAGTCAATAGATGATATTGATATCTTTCAAGTGAGGGAATATTTTTTATCTTTATTTTTTATCAGTTTTCCCGTAGCACCAATGGCTGTGCAACAAAGCCACTGATAACAAAATGTTGCTTGCAAATCATGCTGGATGGACGGTTTATTTAGTTATTTCTCGTAACGAATAATTACAATCATACAAGGTTATGCCTTTTCATAAAGCTTATTGACGAATATAGAAACGAGGAAAGAAAAAAATATATATTTCTATTTTTGTACGCAAATTTATCAGAATTGTTTGTTTTTTATTTCGACACAAAGGGATCAGTTGCACCGAATTTTCGCGGAATCGGAATAAATGCGAAAAAATAAAGAACGGGAAAAAATAAATTGAAGAAAACTAACGAAAAATTGACAGTAGACCACAACGCAGTGCCAGTGACTGATGTATGTGATTTAGTTGAAATAAAAATGTCCGCGTGTACCGTATGTTTCATTTGTAATGAATCTTTATCTGAAGGCGATAGAATTTCACTAAAAGAGAGAGATTTAAAAACTTTGATACAGAGTAGTGTCAGAAGACAAGACAACAAATCCATAGGATTGCAGGGATTACAGCAGATATCTGTGCATAAAAAATGTCAGACTTCGTATATACATAGTAACAACATTGCTGCATGTGTAGGAGTGAATAAGGAGGAAGCCAGATGTAGTTCGCGATTGGTTGCACTGGCTTTTGATTTTAAAAACAAGTGTTGTTTATGTAGTGAAGATGCATCGGAAGTGTTTACCAAGAAAGAGCAGAGGAAGACACTCAATAAACACAACAACGTGTAGATTATTGAGACGCTCACGATAAAGAACCAAATACTTGACTATGCAATAGCAAGATCTGACACATGGGCAGCAGAAGTGACAGTACGTTTAAGACCAGTCACTGATTTAGTTGCTGTCAATGCCAGATATCATGGTAATTGTTTGAGAAATTTCTCTCGTTCTTCCAATCCAATGCGACCTGCTCATCGGCCTGTGAGTGAAAATACTGCTACAGTCATTGACTTTATTTCATCCTGTCTCGAAGAAAATCAGGAAGAATGCCAATTTTCTCTACGAGAGATACTGGAAAAGTACGAGGGTGATATTCCTACAAAAAAAACCATAAAAGCTAAATTGTTAGAGAAATTTGGACACGAAATAATTATTACCAGTAATCCTAATGCAGATCCAATAATTTTTTATCGAAATACTGGCCATAAAATATTGTCAAACTATTGGAAACAATTGAAACAAACTGACCCAGAGGAAGAACGTAAAAGAATTGTGAAAGCTGCTGTAGAAATAATTAGAGAATATATTAGATCCCAATACTACGACACTCAGATGTACCCTCTCCCACATGATTGTTTACGAGACGTTGAATCCGATATACTTGCTACCCTCAAAATGATTTTAGATACTGTCATTCTCAAAGGGAAACGAGGAAATCAGGAAAATTTAAACACGAAAATCATTGCAATTGCACATGCAATCATCGCGGCAGTGAGGCCCAGATCTTTTTTATCTTCCCTGCAACTTGGTCTATCCGCATTGTTGAGTAAGAAGTATGGATCGAAAGATCTTTTGACGATTTTATCGTCGAATTATTTCTACAGCAGCTTTATCGAGTTTAGGATTGACTTCTTCATACGATCATGCTGTCCAGTTCGAAATGTCTATATTATTGCAACCCCAAGAGCCACAATTCATCGATTCATTTTCACAATTCATTTTCGATAATGCTGATCACAATGTGAATACGATGGTTATAATACTTTTCACGCAATGGGTGGAATTCAATGTTTACTATAGCCACCTCAATTCAGCCATTCACAGCAATTCCAAGATCGAAAACTGAGCTATCTGCAAATATGATTGGGAGATTCGGTCACGTTCCTTTGCAGGCTTTCCAAAAGAGTAATACGGAAGGGCTCAGAAGTATAAAAATACAAAATTTACAAGAGAAGAATCCACTTTCTGAGGAAGTGACGCTACTGTCGAGTGACTTCTATTGGATTTATGGTAAATGGAAAAATTCCCTGCAACTTCCGGGCTAGAATGGGTTGATGGAGGACATTATGAGGGACCTTACACATGAAAAATCGAGGATTTTATGTCTTTCATTCGTTAATTCTCCTCCGAGTGACTGACACCATATTGACCGTGTTACTCGAAACAGTCACGTACAATAATTTCCATGGCCGTCGGACATGGCCATCGGACATGGCCGTCGGCCATGGCGTGGCCATAGGTATTTTGGAATTCGTGGCCGTTTTCCATGGCCGTTGGCCACCAAATAAATAAATAAATAAATAAATAAATGAATAATAGAATTTTGTTCATTACTCGAAAAATGAACAATTTTCCCACATTGACGGAAATTATGTTTTTTTCTCTATATGCTTCGGTATAATTGAGGAATAGGGGGTTAAATTCAGAGGATGTTCGATAATAAAATAATTGAATAAATAAATTAATAATTAAAAGATGAATAATTTTTCAACATTGAGGTAAATTATAACTTCGCTGTATATAAAATATACGAGTTCGAAGGGACGTCAAATTGATATTATACGGAGGTCAGATGGGGATTATGTGATGGGTATATGAGGGTTATGTGTTGTTGGTATGGAGAACACATATAGGTTGTGTGAAGGTCATGTAGGTCATAGCCAGGTTATATGGAAATTATATGAATGTCAGATGCAGGCTTTATGAAGGTGACGTGAAGGTCATAAGGAGGTTGCGTGAGGGTTATGTGAAGGTCATATGAAGATTGTACAAAGCTCATGTGAAGGTTATATCGGTCACATGCAGGTTATATGGGAGTTATGGGGAGGTTACATGCAGGCTTTATGACGATCATAAGGAGGTAGGATCAAGTTCATGTGAAGGTCATATGAGGAATCTATGAAGGTCATAGGAAGGTCACGGAAAAGTTATATGGGGTATTTAAGGGTCATGAGAAGGCTATGTGAGGTCAAATGAAAGGCATACAAGGCGCATGTGAAGGTAAAGAATCATTGACATTATATAGAAGATATATGCAGGTCGTATAAAAGTTATATGGAGGTTAGGTGAGAGTCATATGGAAGTCACGTGAGGGTTATGTGAAGGTCGTATGAAGATTGTATAAAGCTCATTTGAAGGTTATGTACGTCATATGCAGGTTATATAGGAGTTATGTGGAGGTCATATGCGCCTGAACGAAATTCCAGGCGAATTCGTCACCTGTGGAACTCCAGGGTATTTATGTATAGAAAGAGGGAGAGAGAGAGAGTAAAAATTTATAAACCATTACCTTTTTGTCGCGATAAAAACCTATAAGGAGAATTAGAGCTACCTGCTACCTTAACTCTACTTCAGAGCTACCTTAAGTTCGGAGAACTACTTAAATGGGTTACCTATCGCGCGAATCGAGTCCCTAAATTTTTAGAACAATATTCATTAAATAACTTCATTAAATAAACCAGATATTTTGCAGATATTTCTTTTTTCGAGTCAGTTTTGATGAGTTAAAGTTTAGTAATTTTGATATTTTCCTATGTAAATTCGGTTAAGGATCAGGATATCACCGTGGAATATTTGACCAAGATAATGTGCTACCCAGTGTTTCCTGTAACCCTTTTTGGTTTCTCGATAGAGTGAGCACATAGGTCGAGTTGAAATGCTTGCGCTCCCTTGAGCGAGAGTGTTAGGGCTTTCAGTTGGAAGGCCGTGAAGACGATCACCCAGTCGTCGAAACGGATCGCCATTGAGTTTTTAATTTAGTTGCGTTTGCGTTTGAGTTTTCGTTGGTAAAGTCCTAATTCCTCTCCGGAGAGTGCCCTCTGTAGATAAGCTACCTTATTCCGGCCGTAGATGGAGCGAAGACCCGCTCAGCCATCTCAATTTCGCGTTGAGTTCACGTCATTATAGTTTTGTTCAGTTGAAATAATTGGGATCAATTATATAAAAATTCAAATTTAAACCTTTAAATATTTCGCGCACAATTACACCGGGAATCGATAGTTCGCATCTCCGGCACTCCAGTCAGCACCGTACGGGGCTAGTCTC